GGCGGCTCTCCACGGTAAATCGCCCGACGTGCGCCGTCGGGGCTGCCCCGGGGCCGCCGGGAGCTCGCAGCCCCCGGGCCCGACGTGCAGGCGCATGTGCGGAGCTCCCGGCCCGGCCCGGCCCGCCATGGCGGAGGCTCCTTTGCCTCCCCCGTCGCCCACATGACAGGAGGCTGCCGAGCCTCCTCGCAACAGAAACGGGAGGAAAGGTCGGAGGGGATGTGCCTGAGGTTTGGGGCTGGGCCGAGGGGCGCAGAAAAACCACCCCCGTTATAGCCAGCAGCAGCAGTGGGAGCACAAAGAGGGAAAGAGTTGGGGGAGTTGGCTTTTCTTGAGCTGCGCCACGGGGCTGAGGGCAGTTGAGGGGCAGGTGAAGGGAAGAGCACGGCTCACCGGGTGGACCCAGCCGGCAGGTGTGAAGAAGGCTGGCGTTTATCCGAGCCGCCTGCGCACCGGCCTCCCTGGCTACCTGCATTTTTACATCATCATCTTCCCATTTCTGTCAAGTGCAACGTTGTCCTCGGCCAAGTAAGAGTTTAAGTTACCGCTTCGAAAGAGCCGTACCAGAAAGATGACGCAGGAGGAAAAGGAACCAAACGCTTGTTCAGATTCAGCCTCAGCTGAATGGGGATTTGGCGGGAATTATTCAGGGGGTGTATAGTTGTTTTTGCTTTAAAAACCCTCGTACTGGATCCTATTCTGATTTGCATTTCTAAAGCCTGGGTTATACTGGCGGGACCGCTGCGTGTTTTGGTAAATACTGTTGTTTCACGTGTTATGAGAAACTCTGAAGTAGCTGCAGGGTTTCTGTGATTTTCTTACTTCGTCTGGGTGGCACGGAGAAATATATCCTCAGAGACATTACAACGATGTTTAACTGTGTTGGGCCAAGTCAGGTGGGGAAGAGTTTAGCACAAGAAAGGACACAAAGTAAGAAATGAGGAAGAAAAGACATTCTTGCCCGTAAGACTAAAATATTCTGACACTAGCTGTTTTTGCTTTTTCAGGCCATATAAATTGAAGCTAAAAGAATTTCTGGGGCGGGTGGCTTTTTAATAAAATCCTGTTGAGATTTCATAGGAAATTCAGGTTTTAATCTTTTTTAATCTTTGTTTTGATAGAAGTTTCCTTGCTTCATGTCTGTGTGATCACTGGCTTTCCACAAAGAATTTAATAATCCTCTCTGTAATATAGTATCTGTCCATCTATCTGGCTGTTTATGGGAAGGGCTGGCTAGAGAGCTGCAATAAATAATCTCTAGTTTGTCATCTAGTGAAAAATCAGCGTAGTTCTGTCGAATCCAATGTTGATTTATCCCAAGTGAGGATCCAGCTGAATCATTAACTAGGCAGAGCATTGCCAGTCCTCATCTGTATTAAGGAAGATTGCGCACTGGCCTAAAGGGCTGCTAGATTGCTGCCTCTTAATCAGTGACCTACCAAAATATGTGTCAAGGAGTAAATCTACTTCATGTAGTGAGGACCACGGCAGTGGATTGGAGAAGTTTGTATGTGGGTGCTTTAGCTACAAGCACACTTTGCAACTCGCTTCGTAATGTATTAGGTCCTGCAATATCTTCACAACCAGAGCTCCCAGTGTGGTCAGGCAAGAAGGGTCAGACCTATTCAGCAGCCTCATTTTTGTGCCACCAATTCTTAAATATAGAGTCAGTATCCAAGTATGCCTGCCTGTGAATTCCCAGTTCATTAGGTTCTAGCTCTGTATGGCAGGCGGGTAGCCACCAGGTTAGACCCTCACCTCAAGTAAATCAGCCTCAGGGGTGCTCTGGTGGCTGGCCCGCTCCTTCTGTGTGGCTTGCCAAGGGGTGTTGGGCTTGGACAGCAGGACAGCACCTTTTCTCCATATCCATGAACAGTCTGAACTACCCCAGCTGAAGTCAGTGGAAAGATGCTCATCAGCTTTAATCGGAGCCAGATGGGGTCCTCGTTGTGTCATGTCACCCAGAGGCACAACAGGTCAGCTTTGTTTTCAGGGAAGCAGCAGTGCCCAGGGCAGTGCTAGCAGCGGTGCTGCGGCCAGCTGCGAGCTCTGGCAGCAGGTGTTTGCACTCCCCCAACGGTGGCATCTGGAGCTACTGCACCAGTTGTCCTCAGTCAGTTCTGCTCCTGGTCCCAGCTTTCTTTATCTGTCCTCATTCCCGTGAATGCGGTGATCTGAAAGGCAGGCCCAGTGGTTTGCTCTTTATAGTCCTAGTTTGAGCAAATCCAGCTCTCTCCCAAGGAGCTCTGGCATTTTACAAAGCAGCCAGAGTTGCTGGAGTTTTGCTTGGATGCTGTCAAAAGAGTGCTTCACCCCCCGCGCACACATGCAAACACAAATCTAGATCTGGTTGAAGCTAATGGCAAAGCTCCCATTCAGGACTAGGGAATTAAGCCATTGAAAAGCCTCTGGCACATCCCTGTGCAGAGGCCACATGCCCAGTCTTTTCTCTTCCTTCATTCTAACCATGCCACTTGGCTGCTGTAATGGAAGAATTTCAAAACACTTCACTGTGGTGGAAATAATTTTACAGAAGGGGAAGCTGAGGCACAGAGAGGAGAACAGATTTGTTCCCAGCCACAGAGCAGATCTGCAGAGCTGAGGCTAGAACCCAGGTGCCTAAAAGCCAAGCCCTTTGCTCTAGTCACTAGACAATGCAGCCTGTTTTAAATCCTAATCCCCTGGGTTGGGTAACAACACAATGGGCTGTTGTGGATATGATTGTGATGTCAGAGGGAAAGGATTATGACTTTGTATAACGGAACAAGCAGCAGGAGCAGATGAACTCTTAAAGGAATGAACAAGCTGTTTCCTTGAAAATATCTGTCTGTCTCTGTGATCATGCAGGTTGTTTTGAGTATTTCGCTAAACCCAGGTTATGTGATCAGGTGCATGGCTAATTTGTAGTACCAGAGTAGCATAAAAGAGTCTAAGTGTGGCTGTTAATGTGGCCCTCAGCTGTTGATGCCCTTGGATGCCAGGTGTCCCTTTTCTTTCTCATGTCCTGGCAACAAGGTATTTAGGAGAATTCACTCATTCGCTGGAGTCTGACAGCCCATGCCGTGAGTGCTCCTGCTTTGACCTTGTACTTGCAACCATGCGCCTTAGTGCCCACACCACCCCAGCTGCCACCAGCTGTCCCTAATCATCAGTGAGGGACTCAGAAGTACCTGAATCTCAGCTCTAACATCAAGATTGTTTCTAAACAGAATATGTTTTGTGAGATCCCCCAGCACTGTGAGGAAACATAAGTGAAAGGGCAGGAATAGATGAATAGTGGCTTCTCTACACATCCCATCGAAGACAGCACCAAAGACCCCCCTGCCTAGATCCCATCTACCAGTGTCTGCAGGCTTGCTCCAAACTCCCAAATACGCCAGCAAAGCCACACTGGGCTTGTCCCCTTATGCCTGCTCCTGGTGGGCTGAGAGTAGGTGCTAGGCACGAATCTGCAGAAACGTCCCTCGTGAATGTCTGGGTTTGGAGCGGGTCAGCAAGTGCAAGTGGGCAGGGCATACTCTGCACAGTCTTTGCTGGGTTCTGCCACCACTGCAAGGTGGGCAAGTCCTCAGAGCCTGGACAGTCTTGTTTCTTCACCATAGCTCTTTATTGGTCTCACAAGCCAAGCAGGGCAGCGGCAGAGAATTCTTTAAAAAGATCTCCAAAAACGGAGAACCGTTGCAGGAGGCAGAATTGATGGTTCAGGAGGAGGTAGTCTTCCCAGTGGGTCAGTACTGCACCGGTGAAAATACTGAGTCTAGTGTGGACTCTAGGGAGCAGGGGCAGATCCAGATGGGGTGCATTAGTGCTGCGGCACCCTGCTTTGAGTCCTGCTCCATCCAAAGTTCAAAACCAACTGCCTGACAGTGGCAGCAGCATTTCTAGTCAGGCAGCAAGGAGGGAGTCATTAAAATCTACCTGATTCCTTCTACATTCTTCATTCCACAGGTGTTAACGACCCTCTCTCCTTTTTAATGATCTTGAGGTTCCACTAATCAAGCTAGCCTTTCTTCTGCAGTTCTTCTGTCTATTAGTTGCGCCTGGTAATGTAGCTCCTATTTCACAGCCTTGTAAACCATTTTTAAAGCATTCCACTTCAATTATGTTTGTTTTCACTTCAGTCTTAAATCTTAGGCCCCAAACATATTAGTAAATCTTCTGATTTCTTTTTGCCTGAAGAAAAAATGTGTTGTGTTATATGGGATGATACACCACACCATCTACACCCTCTTTTTCAAAATCCTAGATCTTCCCCTGGTAGGGAGAATCACCTTTTGGTCAATGAAAAGTAACTATAGCACTGTTTCCAAGGGCAGGAGGATTGGCCTCTTTGTCCAGACAGACAGTTGTCCAAAATCCTCCATGAAATTTCAGTTAGGACCGACCTGCACCCTGTTTTTATATTGCTAAAATGTTAATTCACTACAAGCCCCTGGGGTGCCTACAGTTTTAATGACATAATGGTGACTGAGCCAGTATAGCTTCTCAGAAATGTGTAGTTTCTAACCAATATGTGTATGCAGACCAGCCTGTAGATACAAAATTCTTCGTCACATACTGTCCTTCATCTCTTGTACAGTTATGCACCATGCATGGCTTATTCTGCTGCTGAAGTAGCTGCTTTTCAGTGACAGATGAATTGATTTGCAAGTCTAGTTTATAAAATGCTTTGGGACCCCTTTGAATGGAAGGTGCTGGCTAGAGATGTGTGTTAAATTTCTTCCGCTGTCCCTATGCTGTGATGGAGGGACCTGTCTTTCTAGCTGTCTGTGAGGGTAACATTCCCAGCCGGGCTCCAAAATAATCCCCAACTACTGTCCTGTTCACAGAAGCCAGCATGTTCCTAAATAAATGTGAGGGAGAGCTGAGTGAGCTGAGGAAGAGCGTGGACAGTGAGGGCACCACACCAGACAACACTGAAGAAGAGCAGCCCAAGAAAAAACACCGGAGGAACCGCACAACCTTCACGACATACCAGCTGCATGAGCTGGAGAGGGCCTTCGAGAAATCCCACTACCCCGATGTCTACAGCCGGGAGGAGCTGGCCATGAAGGTCAATCTTCCAGAGGTCAGAGTGCAGGTGAGAGAGGCCCAGCTGCTTCTATTACGTCTGTGCACCTAGTTAATCTATAGCACATATGCAAGCCTTTCAGTTCTCAGTAACTAGTTCAGTAGTTGTGCTGTAGTATCTGTGTACTCCAGGGGTGGGCAAAATGCAGCTCGCGGGCCGGGTGCAGCTTGCCAGGCCATTCTATCCAGCCTGCACAGTCCCTAAAAAATTTATAAAATTAATATTTTCCTGTCCCTGGCTACCTGTCATGTGGTCCTCGATGGCTTGCCAAAACTCAGTAAGCGGCCCTCTGCCCAAAATAATTGCCCGCCCCTGGTGTAGTCAGTTCCTAGCGGTCAGGAGTCCACACTGCCACTAGGTGAAAGAACCAGCAGCAAAGCCAAGGACCGAATGAGCCAGGGAGCCTAGACATCCCTCTCCACTCTAATGGCAGGATTTCTTTAGGCCAGAGCTCAAGAGCTCTAGGTCAGGGATGTGGAGGAAGCTTGTCTTGCTGCTGTGTGTGTGGTGTTGCCTGTTACATGAAGACAGAGCATCAGCCTCCAGGATTCCTCTTCAGCGCTCCTTCCCGGAGAAGGATTCATCCTAACTGGGGCAAGTGCCTACTTCATGGAGCACTGCCAGCATTAGAGCCTCCTCTAACAACCGCCTGCCTGGGTAGACATGCACACATGCTCCTGTGGCTCCTTCACTGCCCCCAAATAATCACTGTTCACGTGGTCCTCCAGTACCTGCAGTGCTGAGTCCTGCTGGCTCTCAGGCTTCTGCAGTTGTCTGAGCCATTCCTGAGCCGCGAATGCGATCGCAATTCAATTGCATGTATGTACAGAGGGCAGCACGCTGCTAGAGCTGGCAATGTTAACCACAAGAAAGGAGAGCTCCTGCTTGCCAGGCTTGTGTGTGGCTTCGATATCAATAGTAATGTTATAGTGTTGGTGTAATCACGATGGTCCAGGGAATATGCGAGAAGCAGGATTTGTTTCATATCTTTCACTGGGCCAGCTTTATATTAGAAAGAGATATCAGGCAAAATTTGGGGCACAAAATGTCCTTTCTCTGAGGCTTTCCTCTGCTTTACAGTGAAGCTTGATCCAGAAAACCCCAGCTTGTGGTTCTAACTTGATGTGACTGCCTTGTGAGGGAGACCTGGTCCTGGCCATTTCCTTGGAGCTGAGAAATGTTTAAGACACTTTAGAGTGTAGGGCATCAGACAGATGGAGAATCTGCTCCAAAATCTGCCACTAGCCTGCTGCTGATCTCAGGCTTGACATTGCTCTTCTCTCGGCTTCACTTTTCCAGTTCATCAAAATGAAGATGATGATACTTTCCTTTTCTTAGAGCTTGTAGAGATCTTTGAATGTAAAGCGCGATACAGGAACTAGAACTCAGCGTGAACTTATTATCAATATCAAAGGAGTTTGAAAAACAAGGGAAGTGAGATCACAGGAAAACTGATATTTTGCAGTGATTTTCATTTTACAAGGCTCTACTCTTATGTGAAAAATGTCACAATACATTACATCGTTTTCCTGGGAATTTTCTCAAAATATATAATTTATTTTCTTGGTGAAAATTAGATTCTTAGTAAAACAAAATACAGGGAGTGTGATTTTGAAAATGATTTTGATATAAATGTTAGTTAAAAATGTCATGAAAAGAAAGATGCATAGGAGACAGAAATTTCTAATCATTATATGACCTCAAGAATTCTAGAGCTAGGAAAGATTTGAGTTTCATAGGGTCTAGATTTTTTGATCTTGTGATATTCTGGAGAATTCTAGATCTGGGATCAGTGAGATCCTGGTGGATTCTCGAGTGTCAGACTTTAGATGGTGTCTGTTTCCAGAATATAGAACTTCATAGACTCTGAGGTTTTGTTTCTTGGAGTTTTGAGCACATTCCCCTATTGCCCAAAACTTGTCTGAAAAGAAGTTGTGCTGCCACGTATTTGTATGTTAGAAACTCCCACTGGCGAGCTAGAGGATAGTGAGGGGCAAACCTCAGTTCATGTAAACTGACAACACTAGAGGTCTAATTTTCTTTTTTAATAGTCCATAGCCTAGCAAAACATCACTAGCGGCACAGGAAAGGATGTGCCAGAAAGCAGTGATCCCTGCTGGAACTGAATGGAAATCACTAGGAATGAGTTGGACCCATGGTTTTTTGGGAGCACCATGCCTTCTGGAAATGACTGTAAGCAGTACAGAGACATAAAGGAGGAAAAATTCAGGAAAATTGGAAGTAAATTTACAGAAAAACTAGCAAAAAATGAGCTGGAAGTGGGAAGAAGTGGAAAACCAAGTCACTCCAAGGAGCAGCAGATCTGGTGGTTAGAGGGCCCCATTTGTGGCACTAGACACTTCAGTTCAGCACTGTCTTAGGTTGCAAATGAAATAAATTCGGTGGTTTTCAACCTATTTCCCATCATGAAAGTACAGGCTGATCTGACAAGATTGGATGCCTCTGTTCAAGAGATGCCTAGTTGTCAGACCAACCTGGTTGCCTTCTATGATCAGGTCACAAAATCCTGGGACGCAGGTGTTATGGTGGACGTAGCCTTTCTGGACTTTAGGAAGGCCTTTGACACCGTCTCTCACCTCCTTAAGAAATAAGGCAACTGGCATTGATGCCTACACATTCAGATGGGTCACCAATTGGCTAGATGTCCACACCCAGAGAGTGGCGGTGGACGGGTCTTTTTCAGCCTGGAGGAATGTGAGCAGTGGGGTCCCCCAGGGCTCGGTCCTCGGGCCCGCGCCCTTCAACATCTTCATCAGCGATTTGGACGAGGGGGTGAAAAACACCTTGTTCAAATTTGTGGATGACACTAAGATGTGGGGAGAAGTGGGCACACTGGAGGAGAGGGACAGGCTACAACTAGATCTAGACAGGTTACGGGGTAGGCGGATGAGTACAGGATGGGATTCAATACTGACAAGTGCAAGGTACTACACCTGGGGAGGAAGAACCAGCACCATATCTACAGGCTGGGGAGCTCCCTTCTCGTCAGCACAGAGGCAGAGAAAGATCTTGGTGTCATTATTGATTCCAAGATGAACATGGGCTGCCAATGTGGGGATGCGGTCAGGAAGGCTAACCGCACCTTGTCATGCATCCA